AAAAGAGAGAAAATTTACTAGCATCGCATACGAGCGACAGAGATAACGCTACCCTACACATTTTTATATGAGGTGAATAGCGAAAGACAAGTATAATTTGTGCCAGGCACATCATCAGTCGTAATTCGTTATCAAGTGATATCGGCGGTGTTTTTGTTCGGTCGGTCGTTTCGTTATGATTACGTCTAGTGCTGATTTCGGTCTTTTTTTACCTGAAAAGTGAAAAATACCTTTTTTGTTTTAGTACGTCTAGTGTTAATGAACTGCTCTGTTTTGTGATCATATTTTTTACTGTTTTATTAAAACTAGTGAAAATGAATAAAATCGGGATATTAAAAAACTCATTTAGTGGTTTTTCGCTGGATCAAAAACTGCAAATTAAAGAATTAGGACGGCCAATACCCGATTTAAAAATTGAGAAACAAAGTGGTAGCGGACAAAAATCGCGCTGTCGCAAATTTAATAAAAATGTGTACGATAAAAACAGCTGGATATGTGGTTTTGAAGAAACGAATAAACTATTTTGTTTTGTATGTGTTCTATTTGGAGGTGACGAGACTTGGTCAAAAAAAGGTACAGACGATCTTATACATATATGGGATAAAATGAAGACCCACGAAAAATCTAAAGTCCATATGAATAATGTTTTTAGCTTTTCTATTCTTGGTAAATTAAATATAAGGACTCAACTCAATTCGGCTTATCGCAATGATCTAATTAAACATAATAATCAAGTGGATAAGAATCGATATGTATTGAATAAAATTATTAATTGTATAAGGTTTTGTGGAGCATTTGAGTTAGCCTTAAGGGGTCACGATGAAAAGGAAAATTCGGAAAACAGAGGCATATTTAAGGAGCTGGTGAATTTTAGCGCCGAATTAGACAACGAATTGAAAGTCCATATTCAAAGTGCCAAACTTTTCAAGGGTACCTCAAAAACAACTCAAAACGAGCTTCTTGAGTGCATGCTAGATGTTTATCATGAAGAAGTTAAGAAATTCTCCTTTTGTTGCAGTAATTGCCGATGAAACGACTGACGTAGCCTGTGAATTTCAGTTAGTTATTATTTTCAGATATTTGTGTAAAGGACAACCAGTTGAGAGATTTTGGAGATTTTACGTCCCCGACGGACACGATGCCAAATCAATCGCTGCATGCGTTTTAAATGTTGTAAATCCATTACTAGATCAAAATCCAAACAAATTAATAGCTCAAAGCTATGATGGTGCGTCTGTTATGAGTGGTGAATTGAATGGCGTTCAAAAAATTATTAAGGAAACTTATCCACTTGCAAATTATGTTCATTGCTATGCACACCAGTTAAATCTAATTATGACAAGCGCATGCTCTGTCAATAAGCAGGCTAGAATATTTTTCCATAATTTATCTGGATTGTGCTCTTTTTTTCGACGTCTCCTCAAAGAACAAAAATTTTGGATGAAATAGTTAATTGCAGATTGCCAAGATCTTCCCAAACACGTTGGAATTTTCAGTCACGAGGTGTTCATACAGTTTATGAAAATAGGAAAGACCTGATTGAAATTATGGACAATATAGAAAGTACTTCACGCGATTCTTCGTCGATTAATCAAGCCAGTGGGTACAAATTAAAGCTGCAAGATACAAATTTTGTATTTTGACTAAGTATATTCCATAAAATAATGCCACATGTTGAAATTGTCTTTAACCAATTACAAAAAGTATGCACCGATTCTGTTAAGGTCAAAAATGATTTAGAGAATTTTGAAGCAGCAATTCAAACTATACGAGAACAAATGGATAGCATTATTGACGAGATTGAACGAGTGCATAGAGAAACTGATGAACCGGCAAGAAAAAAAAGGCAAGTTGAAGAAGGCAGCAAAAAACGGGAAGCGTTAGAAATATGCGATGCAGTATTATCGCAAATAAGAACAAGATTTAACTTTTCTGGACATTTAGTTGCTTCTAATTTATTTGTGTCTGAAAAGTTTTCTGTTTATAAACATCAGTTTCCTGAAGCACATTTAAATGACACATGCACACAATTTTCATTTTTAGACAAAAACAGGCTTAAAACTGAGTTACAAGTATTATATCAGAGAGAAGAATTGAGTACTACTTCTGGAGCTGTTCCACTATCCATTTTATTGAACGAGGAAGGATTAAATTGTACGTTTCAAGAAACTCTTAAGCTCTTAAGTATTTTAATCACTATACCGATGTCAACATCTGAAGCAGAACGCTCTTTTTCAATGCTGAAACGGATTAAAACTTTCCTCAGAAACACAATGAAGGAAGACAGGCTTAGTGCTTTAGGAATGCTGTCTGCAGAAAAACATTTTGTTAGTGGCATTGAAAATTTTAATAATAAGGTAATCGAAAACTTTGCTACCAAAAAAGAAAGAAGAATGGACTTCATGTATAGAAAACTTTGAAGTTATAGGTACTTCTCCACACTTGTTTTATAATTTGGTGCGCGTGTGTAAATAGTTTTATTTTTGATTTTTTTTTGGACATATAGATTTATTGAACCTCAAGAACTTTGACCACTAACTATCAGGGGTAAGTTATAAGTTATTCTTTACAATTTTGAATCGATTCAAAATTATGGCTTCCATTCTGGCACTACCTCACTGAATTGGCACGAGCCGCCACTGGGTCGTAATAGTTTACTACTGAATAGAGAAGAAATTGTGCTATGGAGGAGGGATTATTTAACAAAAATTGGGAAATATAGAAATCAAAACAGGAAGATTTATTACCCTGATGAAACGTGGGTAAACGCAGGACACACTACAAGTAAAGTATGGGTTGATGATTCTGTAACTTCATCCAGGAGGGCCTTTCTAGATGGACTGTCCACCGGATTAAAAAATCCAGCAGGTAAATACGAGTAATAGACAACAATCGGATGTTTTTCAAACCTTGGGAACAAGGTTCTAAACATTAATTCCAGGGGGCAGATAAAACATATTACAAGTAACAAAACTTTTATAACTTTCGATAAAATGCGTGGATGTTTTATTGTCATTTTCATTTGTTAGAACTTTTTGAGGCCATGTTTTTATGTGTTTTCGATATTTCAATAATTTTTTAATATAATCTTAAAATATGTCGAATATTATAAACTTAAAAAAAGTTACTAAGTTTTATATTGTGTACCGTTCCTAATATTTCTAATCATTTTAATTCATACTTTAAGCTTTATAAAGTTATAATTTGTTAATATTAATATTTGCGCGTATTTCAGGTTCCTGATCATTCATTTTTTAAAGGTTTATAACTTTAAATTAAATTGTGAAGCGCTGAGTAATCATACGACATTCAATATTCTTTCTTTCAATATGACTAAATAATCCCAATTATAGCAATCTGATACTCATGTCTGAATTTCAATTAGCGAACCTTTTTCAAATGTTTTCATCACATTCAGCGAAAAAACATTGAGACATGAGTATCAGATTGCTATAATTGGGATTATTTAGTCATATTGAAAGAAAGAATATTGAATGTCGTATGATTACTCAGCGCTTCACAATTTAATTTAAAGTTATAAACCTTTAAAAAATGAATGATCAGGAACCTGAAATACGCGCAAATATTAATATTAACAAATTATAACTTTATAAAGCTTAAAGTATGAATTAAAATGATTAGAAATATTAGGAACGGTACACAATATAAAACTTAGTAACTTTTTTTAAGTTTATAATATTCGACATATTTTAAGATTATATTAAAAAATTATTGAAATATCGAAAACACATAAAAACATGGCTTAAAAAAGTTCTAACAAATGAAAATGACAATAAAACATCCACGCATTTTATCGAAAGTTATAAAAGTTTTGTTACTTGTAATATGTTTTATCTGCCCCCTGGAATTAATGTTTAGAACCTTGTTCCCAAGGTTTGAAAAACATCCGATTGTTGACTATTACTCGTATTTACCTGCTGGATTTTTTAATCCGGTGGACAGTCCATCTAGAAAGGCCCTCCTGGATGAAGTTACAGAATCATCAACCCATACTTTACTTGTAGTGTGTCCTGCGTTTACCCACGTTTCATCAAGGTAATAAATCTTCCTGTTTTGATTTCTATATTTCCCAATTTTTGTTAAATAATCCCTCCTCCATAGCACAATTTCTTCTCTATCCAGTAGTAAACTATTACGACCCCGTTTTTTCCATTTGAAATTTAAATGCTTCAGTAACGCATTTAAAGTTGATCGTTTGAAATTTGGCAACGTTGTATCTCCATTTACCTCCTGCAGTACTTTATCTATAGTAGGTATTTCATTCCTAAAGAAGAATTCATGCACTTTTCTCCTAATCGCATGCTTATCAGCTTCATCCAATGATTTAACAATACTTTTGCGATGTTTACTGGTCATTGGCTCAGAAAAGGTGTGATTTTTTTTGTATTGTCTTAACACATTAAACACTGATGCGCGACACACCCCAACTTTGTGAGAAATCTTCACAACAATTTCTTTGATGGTTGATGCCTCGTTCTCCTCGCGCTCGATCTTATTTATATTCAAAATGACCTCTTTCATTTCTGCACTCAGGTGTCTTTTTTTAGAGCGTTTCCTAGGTGGACTACAGGCGTTTACAACTTCATCGGCAGTATCTGTACTACTGGGCATTTTGCGCAAGCAGTTGATAACAATAACAATCAATAACAAGGTATAACAATAACAAACTGAACAACTTAATAAGATAACAAACGAAAACGTCCAAAGAAATATCAAATTGCAATGATGCACACGACATACGTAACACGTCTGAACCTGAATGTGACTCTGCCTTGATACGACTGCTCTGCCGCTCGGCATAGACATTTAATTGCGAATTGACCAATGAGGGCTCCTGTTTTATGTCGAGACGGCGGCGTTAGCGTGAAAATCACCCGAACCTTTTGTTTACATCCGGTCTATCTCTTATCTGAATATACTGTAATTTCGCTATGGTATTCAATGATTAGCCACTACTGACAGACATTTTCCTCCTCCAGGGAACAGCAGCTTTCTTGGCGTTGATCGTTTCAATCCTAGCAAGTCGGGGAGATGATAATTTGACCGTCGTTACCTGGATCTTGCATCATATTTCTTTGGCTTTTGTCACGGGAGCTCTCTTTTGTGACGTCATCAAAATGAATTTTGGTTTGGACCCCGCTGTCCCTTACAATGACAATACGACCTTTAAAAAGGGGGAGCTCTGAAAGTGGTAACATCACGAATAAAAATTGCTTGTTGTTCTTTTTTTGACGACAAATAATATATCGAACTGATAATGAAATACATCGTTCAGTCAAGAATGGATTATGTCATGATGGAAATATTTGTTTGTACCTTGCTTTGCTAATATTTCAATGTGATATAACCTGCTATAGTCACGAAAGATGACGATTACGTCATCACTTTAGTCTGTAGTAAAGACTAACGTCAGCGATTTGTGAATACCTTTAATGAAGTTTCAGATATTTTAGACATAGACAAACTGAGTTTTATTGTCTAAACACACTGTATTGCTAATTTGCATGTATCCGACAAAGATAGACGATGTTGGGTTACGTTAAAGGAGGTTAGGTTGTTTTCGAGTAATGTTTTGGTCTTTGGTGATCCTGTCTTAAGGTATTCTACTCATCACTCTTTTTTCAAAAAAAAAAACTCTCCACTAAAATTATTATTAAGGTATCACTCAAAACCATGAAATAAAATGAAAATAAAAATAATCAGTGTGTGTGTGTGTTGTTTTCATTATGTTCCTGACCGTGATTTTATCATCGACCTACGTCCATTGATTACTTCAGTACAATTTATGATATGACGTAATAGTCGTCTTTCGTGATTTTGACTATAACAGACAAAACATTTGTTGGTTAAATGTCCATAGAACATGACTGTACATTGGGAGTTCAAAGAGCGTTTTTAAGCAAAGTGTTTTTATTTACTTTTTGTAGTTTATTTACTTTTTACGTACTGCAGAAAAGTGCTAGAGATAATAGTTATATTGTAGTTGTTCTTACTTGCTGACACGCCTCCATCATACGAGTATACGATTACACTGGTCAACAAAATTTTAACTTTGTCGTGCCACACGGACTTTTTTTGATATTTTTTACTTTAATTGGTGATTGTGAGAAAAAATAAACAGTTAAAAAAATTTGCTAGACAAGGATTTTATTCTATTGAGTAATTTAAAATATTAAAAAAAAACACAGATCTCGTAAATCAAAAGTTATTTTTTTTATAAATGACTTAATAATCTAAGATTTTCTTGAATATTTAGCTTCTGGTTAGTCCCTTTTAATTGTCCAGCAGTAATCTGCAAACATATTTGAGCTCCATTTGCCCTGGTACCGCTTTTCCATATTAGAAATGTCCTGATGGAACCTCTCACAGTGCTCGTCGCTGACAGCCCCTAAATTGTCAGGAAAAAAATCCAGGTGCGAGTCTAAAAAATGGATCTTAAGTGACATGTTGCAACCCAATGCTTGATATGACAATAATAGCTCGCTAACCAACTCTCTGTAGCTGTCACTCTTGTGGTTACCCAAAAAATTTGAAACAACATTTTTAAAAGCCTTCCATGCAGATGTTTCTAAATCGCTTAATTTTTCTTCAAATCTTGAATCTTTTATTAACTCCCTAATTTGAGGGCCAACAAAAATACCCTCTTTTATCTTTGCATCACTTATTTTAGGGAATTTTTCTTTTAGATACAAAAATCCACTCCCATTGCGATCCATTGCCTTCACAAAATTTTTTATTAATCCTAATTTGATATGCTATGGTGGTAGAAGCACATTATTTGGCTGTACAAGGGGTAAATACTTCACGTTTTTTTGCCCAGGAACTAACGATGCATGCGTAGGCCATGTTTTTTTTATATAGTGATTAGTTCTGTCTCGGCTATCCCATTCACATAAAAAGCAGCAAAACTTTGTATAACCCAGCTGAAGTCCAAGTAATAGTGCAACAACTTTAAGATCACCGCAGATTTTGAAGGAATATGTACAGTAATTTATTTTTTCAAGTAAAAGTTTCATATTTTCATAGGTTTCTTTCATATTTGCAGCATGGGCCAGAGGTACAGACGGAAGCTTATTTCCATTATGCAATAACACTGCTTTTAGACTTACTTTCGAAGAATCAATGAATAAACGCCACTGAGAGAGATCAAAATCTATGTCCAACATTTTCATAATCTCATTTATGTTATTGCAAAACACCAAATCTCCATCCTGAGAAAAATACGTTCTGAAGTGTTGATCACGGTTTCGAAAATAGCTAACTTTTGTATTATGATGTAGCAAATTCCATTCTTTTAGACGTGATCCTAATAGTTCTGACTGCTTTTTTGACAAATTTAAATCCCGAACCAAATCATTTAGGTCTCCTTGAGTTATCAAATGTGGCTCGTTTACAATTCCTTTTAACTCAAAGTCATCGTCCTCGTCAACACATTCACCTGAAGTGGACGGTTGTGAATTGTTCTCAACAGACGTAGTTGCAACTGGTATTAGTTCTGGCAATTTTTTACAATGAGAGACTGGTCTTATAGCCGAAGATAAGTTAGGGTAAATAACTGTGGTTTTTTCTTGTAATTTATACCTTTTTTGTCTGTGAGACAAAAATAGCAATCTGAAACGTGATCTCGCTGTTCAGTCCATATCATGGGTACAGCAAACGGCATAGATCGTGCACCTTTCTTCCAGTCAGTTAAATTTTTCACACACGTTATGCAACAGACATGAGGGGCCCAGGATTTGTCTTGATGGGCGACAGAAAAACCAAAACATTGGTGATAACACTCCAACGCAAGATTCGTAAAATTTCGCCGTTGTTTTTTGAATGTTAGTTCTCCGCAGACATAACAAAAAGAGTTAGGATCATTATTACACTTCCTCGACATATTCACAGGGCTAATAAATCACAAAAAAGTGTTCAAATTCAACAACAAATATTTTTATAAGGATTTACTTGTAAGCGTTTCTGTTAATTTACTGCCGTAGTACTAGTTATGAGTATTACCGTATCACAACAAATATGAGGCTAATAGACATATGACAGCTGTCATGTAATAATGAGGGTAGACTGATAAAACAAAATTAGCTGTCAAAGTTCGTGTGGCAAAACCAGTGTTGACCAGTGTTATTTAGTATAATTTACTAGTTTCACAGTAAAAGACAGAATAAGTCAAGGCGCGTTTCACTTTAAAAGCATCGTCAAAGTGACGCTGACATTAAAGTAACTATCCATATTATACATGTGAACTAGCCGAGTCCTCGCATGAACATAAAACTGGTGGTACGAGTCTCTATAACTATTCTACAATGTGTAAACGTTATGACAATCATTATTTAAATGGGTGATAGATGGGGTTAAAAGAAGCAAAAAGTTTCATATAACATGGGGGTCAAAACGACATTTTTTAGAGAAAAGCGACTTATACTATTTCTTTTGTAATTTGCCCAGGGTGACCAACTAACCTAGTATTTTTTTCATTCTTCTATGCTGATACAAAGGCAACTTCCTATATTCACCGAATTACTATTTTTCTCAAGCGATCTGCAGTACCACCTTTAATTATACTTTCATTTTATTCTGTTGATTTTTTTTATTTTTCTTTTACTTTCACCTCCATCACCGCCAAGGTTCTCCAAGCCATCCTTTGCGTCCTCCTGGGATCCAGATTGGACATAAACAAGGAAAATCATCAGGAAAACGCAAACAAAGCCAACAACGTCATCTTATGTCTAAACATCCTTGTGATGGCTACGAATATATTGATCAGCGCATTCGAAATGAAAGAGAGCACTGATCACCTCGATGGCAACACCACTATCATTCCTTCTGCTGTTAGTAGCATCGGATAAATGTACTGATGATTCATATGAAACACGTTTGTAGCTGATTAGTAAAAAATGATTTAACGAGCATTAGCAGACTGGAATAAGTTTATTATTATTATTATTTATAGATCAATCGAATAAAAGCAGTTTCCTTGCGTTCCTTTTTATATAGAATTTGTAATATCTCATTTTTTTATATCACTGTCGCGCAATTTTTAATGCTTCTGTGCGTTTTCAGAACCCTGTTACTCTTTACTATTTATTTGACCATTTCGAAGGTGCTTCATAATTAAGTATGTACCATAAATTTAACAGACGATTCTTTGAGTAATTTTAAGACAGAAAGTTCATATAAACATGGTCCGCTAACTCTACGTCCTCAAGATACAGGGTGTTAAAATTTAAACAAAAAGATTTTTTGTAAAGTTCTTAAATATCCTTTACCTAATTTTGTTGTAATTTGGCGGAGGTATTTGTAACACTAAAGAGCTAAATTAGCCCTGACTTGAGTATATCTTTTCGAGAAAAGAGTATCCCTGGACCGCGCAAGGATTATGGGAAAAAGTGATATTTTGGAAATTATTTTATAATTTTTCATTATAAATAATTATGCAACAACAACAACAACGAATACTAAATAACACTAACATCTAGACTAACAAATTTCACTGTTAAATGTATGGTATATACTTAACTGAAGCGCAAACATATGAAGTAATGTCTTTCATCCAGTTCGATTTGTGTGTAATGTAATATTTTTGTAACTGATGACTATTAAGTGTATGACAGCTGTATGCTTATTTTACTGTAAGATAACCTTGCACCATAAACAGATAAATATAAATTTAGGAATTTGAAATAACCATAGGTAAAAATACTTATTGATGTCTAGGGCCCTTCTGAAATTATATGTCTGTATTCTTTTTGTTATTTTATTTTCAGTGATATATCCAAACAATAGTACAATAAATTTATATTTTCCATATCATGCAGTTTCATTTCATTCGAATGAATTTTTGGGGCTACGATTAATCTCACGTATTTTACCATCATATACGAGGGCGGTCCAATAAGTACTTATCTCGCCGCCCGATGGCGTCACTACCGCTAGAGAAATTTACTATCGTGTAGTACGTATATATATATATATAAAGAAGGAAAATAATAGGAAAAATCCGCAAAAACGAGGAAAGTGGATTCGAGCAGAAAATAGGACAGTTAACCCGAGCGATACATATTTCTGCTGGTTGGCTTCATCAGTTCCGAAATGAATGCACATATGAAACTACAAAAGTAGATACACATGCCCACACATCCGGATACGGGTGTAGCCTCTCACTGAGAGTGCATAGTGCGCTGGGCAGCCATCATGCTGAAACATGTCCCTGTAAATACTCAGTGGCACGTCCACCAATAAATTTTGTACATGATTTTTCAAAAAATCCAAATAAACTTCAGCAGTCAAAGTCTCTGGAAACTCAAACGGACCGATTATTTTACCATTTAAAATTCCTGTCCAATGGTTTATCTTGAAGCGATATTGAGATTTATCTTCTCTCATCAAATGTGGGTTTGCTACGTGCCACTCGTGTAAGTTATGCAGGTTCATGTACCCATCTTTCTTAAATGTGGTCTCATCCGACCATAATTTTTTTTTCAAAGAACTGTGGATCTTTCCTGTGTCTTTCTAACATTGTGCGACAAAAAGCAACTCGGGGCTCATAATCCCGGGGCAGGAGAGGTTGAACACGCTGTATGTGGTATGGATGAAGCACATCACTTACTTGCTATTGCACACTTTGATACCGATCAGTACTCCTTCGTTTACTGCGCATCTTTACATGTTAGTGGTTGTTGATTTCGTACTGTTACTAATTTTGGATTCGTGAACTGGACTGTTGATCGCTTGTGATTTGGATTTGGACAGTTTAATTGCTCTTCAAAACAACATTTGCTTTCCTTAGACTATCTTTGATAGTGTGATTGTGCAGTGCCGCTATGTCCGTGTACACCGTACAAGAATATGCTAACATGCCCCTGATTTATGGGGAATGCAGATGCAACGCTAGTGCTGCAGCGAGACTTTACTGTGAGAGGTACCCGAACGCAGCTCGTCATCCAGATCATCGAGTGTTCACAAATGTGCACCGCTTACTGTTCTCAGAGGGCCAACTACCAAACCAATCACACGGTGAGGGAAGATCTTTCCTTCCTTACGAAGACGTGGTGCTAGGAGCTGTCGAAGAAGACCCGAGTACTTCAGTGCGTGCAATAGAACTAAAAACAGGTGTGCCCAAAAGTACAGCCCATAGAATCTTGCAAAAAACGTGCTCCATCCATACCACGTACAGCGTGTTCAAGCTCTTCTGCCCCGGGATTATGAGCCCCGAGTTGCTTTTTGTCGCACAATGTTAGAAAGACACAGGGAAGATCCACGGTTCTTTGAAAAAATTTTATGGTCAGATGAGACCACATTTAAGAAAGATGGGTACATGAACCTGCATAACCTACACGAGTGGCACGTAGCAAACCCACATTTGATGAGAGAAGATAAATCTCAATATCGCTTCAAGATAAACCATTGGACAAGAATTTTAAATGGTAAAATAATCGGTCCGTTTGAGTTCCCAGAGACTTTGACAGCTGAGGTTTATTTAGGTTTTTTGCAAAATCATTTAGAAAATTTATTGGAGGACGTGCCACTGAGTATTTACCGAGACATGTGGTTTCAGCATGATGGCTGCTCAGCGCACTATGCACTCTCAGTGAGAGAGTATCTCGATCAAAACTTTCCAGGCAGATGGATAGGACGGTCTGGTACAATACCGTGGCCAGCCCGGTCACCAGATTTGAATCCGTTAGATTTTTTTACTGGGGAACTGTAAAAGAAAAAGTGTATTTCAAGCCGATTCAAAATGTAGCTGAGCTACGGCAAAGACTATTGGAAGCAGCTGAGTTTGTTAATAACCGTGGATTCGCTCTTTAATAACCCGATCTTTTTTAAGATGTCGAGCGTGTATTGCGGCCGAAGGAAAACAGTTTGAGCATTTGCTGTAAAGGTAAATCATCATCAGCAGCATTTTGACGCCCACTGTTGTGCAAACAGTTATCCTTAAGGGTCCTTGTGCGTTTTCATAATCGCTGTTTAATTAGGAAATTTTGAAAAATTTTCATCAGTTTTTCTTCAAATAACAATTGTGCATAAGTTAACGAGTAATCTTCTAAGTGTTATACCATTTTGGAATCCTTATTAAATGCGCCAACTTTTAAGGTTACTTGCCAAACTCTTGTAGTACATTTTTTTCCAGTACAACCAGTTAAAGTTGAGCAAAGTTTTACTTACAAAAAAAGTTAATATTTGTAGTAACAGGAGTTGACGGACTGCCGTAGGGTGTGAAATTTCTATATCTTTTTCAAAGACCTATAATTTTCAAAACACATACATAAAATTTTTTTAAATATTTTTCTGATAGCTGTCATGGCTTTGCCTATCACCCGGTTTCGGCTTGACGTCGACTTCTGGGACACCCTGTATATCATCTAGGTAGAGCAAATAATACGTATCGCTCGGGTTACCTATCCTATTTTCTGCTTGAATCCACTTTTTGCGGATTTTGCCCAATATTTTCCTATTTTTGTTAAATACCTTTCTCCGCATGATAATTTTCTCTTTATATATATATATATATATATATATATATATATATATATATATATATTAATGTATCATCAGTTAATAGTTAAATTTTGCAGTGTTGTAAAATATCAGGAATATCGTTAATATATAAAATAGATAGTAATGGACCTAATTTGCTACCCTGTGGCACACCTACCGAAATGTTTTTAATGTTTGATAATGTACTGCCAATTGTAGTTCTTTGACTTCTATTGATTAAATAATTTTGTAATAAGTTGAATACTGAACCTTGAAATCCATAGCAATGCAATTTCGTTAACAATTTCTCCCTGTCAATAGTCTCAAATGCTCTCCTGATGTTCACTGATAGACAAAAGAGGCCGTCGCCTATTTTATGAACAATATATTCCACGAGCAGTCTTAGAGAGATCTTGTTGTTGATGAAGGTTAGTCGATATGCTTTCGTTCGTTATTCTAGAGCCTATACGATGCTGATGAGTTGCCAAAAAGCACAAAACACCTACCCATGTTTGGCTGTCTGCGGTAGGAGTACGTTTAAATGGTGACTATTCTTCGTTTTTTCATTTCAGAGAAAAATATCGATGACTTTGTTTCGATCAAAAGCAAGTCCTTGTTCAGCCGACTCAAAATTGATCACTGTTTTCTCGACGAGTGTCCAACTTCATGGTGATATAATGATTCTTTTCAATACGCTAAGAATAAGGTACAAACACTGAGAACAAACAGTTAATATACGGCAGAAAGAGCAGTCAAGGCTTCCATGGCTTAGTCACTGCTGATGAGGAACAAAAACAATTTTTATTACATTGCGTACAAGAACACAGGCAGGTATATCCTGACTGTAAAAAGAAAATTTAGTAAATAATGTTCTTTTAATGATAAATATCCAAGAAATATAAGATACAAATAAAGCAGTGTTTTATTTGTCGAATAAGAATTAGGTTTTGAAATCCATACATAGTTTCCCTATTAACTGTCAAATTCAAAGTTTGACTGAGGCATGGGTTCTCGTTATATTAATTTTTTGAGTTGTTAGTGAAATCGAACAAAAATGTGTTTGCTCTCATAGACTGGGATACCCTAATGCTCGCATTAACAATTTCTTCTGAAGTTTGCATTATCTGTTGCTAGCAGTACGATATTGGCTCCCATACATACACTGATCCTATACAAAACCGGAGAATACAAAAAGGATATCTCAAGTGACGTTTATTGTAATAGTAACACGTTCACATTCTATTCATCACAAATGGTCATAGGGTGGAGACATAACAGCTACTTTCTACAAAGAACAGACATCTCAAAGCTATTATCTGTTATAAACTGTGAAAAGATTTAAAAGGACAAGCCGGTAAATAATCGTGTAACTCCTGACTACTACGGTATAGATGAGAATAATACATGTTGGTGAATGGTTACATTTATCCATGCAAGATTGAACATAAGTAGCTCATTTGTGCCCTGAAGCGGATATGTGACATCTACGTCCGGTGCGTGAATGTATTCTCCCATTTTGCACTGAGACCTGAAATGATTAAACAGTGCAGGTGTCTAGATGACAAATCGTTGGTAACATCAAGCTCAAAATATTCCTACAGTAGAGACCGAGTTACGACTACCTGTATTTAGGAAATCTAAACCATATGTATCGTACAAAACTACGAGGTTTTTGGTAACCGATGCAACTAGTCGTAAAGTAAATTGCGCAACCTGATTAGCGGGTCACTTTTTTCATCACTTATTTTAGCACTACAGCTTGTCTAATCACAAGTGATCACAGTTGGACAATGCTGCCCTTGGTAGGGCATTTTTCTGATACAAAAATTAAGAAAATCGTAAATACTGTTAAGTACGAAAAACTTGAACGAGAACTTGCTGGCTGCTATTGGAATTTTGGTGAGAATATGGAAAAAATATATGACAAAATAATATAAAAACTTGTTTAGATCTTGCAATTGATAAAAAAGTAATTTGCTCGACAAAAAATACACCCTGGTATAACAAGAGTATTAAGGCAGTTCAAAATTTGAGAGACACACAATACAAAAATTGTATATTCACAAAATCAAATGATGATTGGGAGGTATATAAAACTCTTAGGAATAAATGTGTGTATGTAATTAGAGAAGAAAAAAGGAAATTCTACGATACACAAATCGATAATAACAAGTGCGACAGTGTAAATATGTGGAAGACTTTAAAAAGACTGATCAATTCGAAACCGCATGATTGTGTAAATCAAGTTCAATTCGAAACCGGTACCGAAACAAATTCTTTGGTGATTGCAAACAAACTAAATGAATATTTTATGGAAAGTATTGTTGATATTGTGGGTACTGCCAATGATGCACCTGACTATATGAAAATCAGTTTCCAGGGGGAAATGTCGCATACACTTTCAAAATTTCACAGCGTATCATTGAATTATCTAAAAAAAAGTAAACAGTTTAAAATCAAATAACAACTGTGCCGAAATCACTACTAAAAACGTGCTGAAAAACTGTTTCGAAATTTTGGGATATTCTGTATTAAATTGGATCAATTGTAGTTTAAAAAAATTTTACGTCCAATTGCGAATTGAAGACCAAGGTCATAGTGACCACTAATGGCCAAATAGAGGTCAAAAATATGTGCTGCTAGGAAAACCACCACGAGTCTTACAGTATTAGTGATGAAAATAACTATCAAGGTCAGTTCTTTAGTACATTTTGACGGGTGATCCTGGATTTGACCTTGAAACCCACCTTCAATGTCATTTTTTCAAGATGACCGCTAGACAACAAATAGGTTAAATAAAGGTCAAATATGTGCTGCTAGTAAAACATCTAGAAATCTCACATAAATCGTGACGAAAATAACTGGTAAGGTCAGGTCTTTAGTAAATTTTCACAAATAGCGGTGATCTCGGATGCCACCTTGAACCTCACCTTCAAGGTCATTTCAAGATCAACTCTATTTGATGCCGACAATCCAGAGAGCCGGAAATTTTATGTTGAAATGAGTATTAGAAAAGGCCAAATGTGTGCTGCTAGGAAAGCTTATAGAAATCTCACGTGAATAGTGACGAATAAAACAGGCGAGGTCAGATCGATTAAGTTTTGGCGAGGGAACTACTACTATGATTTTTAATCCATACTGTTCCTGTGGGTCTCTATATAAAAAATTACCTTAAAATGACCTTGAAGGTAAAATTCAAGATCACTCGTCAAAATTTCATCACTAATGTGAGTTTTATAAAGGTTTTCCTAGCAGCACACATTTGATCTTCATTTGCGCTTTAGTAGTCATCCTAACCTTGGACTTTAATTGTGTTTAACAGTCTTTAACTTGTCTTGTCATATTTTATATAATTTTAACCATTGTACCATGTATCCAGCTCTCACCATGTTACTGGACGTTTCCCTCATCCTATACGAAAACAACAATTAGCAACATCCTCACATACTACTGTAAGTTAATTCAATTTAAATTCATTTTACACTTTTGTTGCTACTGTTATCATTGTAATTGCAGCTCCTGATGATGATGGCAAAGTCCATTGAAAGCTAGAGAGAATTAAAAAAAGTATAAAGAGTCCTCTTTGCTTAAATTTTGTCGAAGTACCCAACAAAAGGCGGAAGCTTTAATTTTTCACCTAACTGGTCTAGACGACAATGACCACGTCTCAAGTTATATATATATAATTTGAAAAAATATAGTTGACCGTAAATTAACCTTTAAATTCCTTGCTGAAAGATATGTAGGCCTGACCTTGATCTTTTCCAACATACCTTACCCGAGAAAATAGAGAGTCGGGACTTTTGTGTTACGCTGTATATAAATCTTGATACGGCAACTTTTCCAACTGTACACTACGAGTCGTCTGCGTAGTTGGTATTCCCCAATAGTTACAGCTGACTCATAAGCATGCCTTCATGTGCATGAAGAATGGCCGCATTATTTATGCTTTTTTGCATGGTGAATGCTATATGCCATATGTCAATGGATTTAAAACATTGGAGACATATTAATGTACATCAAAACAGGGCAATCGAAATATGGATAATTACTGATCTTGAAAATATTAGTACAAAAGGTATTATAAAAGTTATGACAACAAACGGACGCAGGAGGCTGCATGTTACTGCATATTGAGACATTTCCATGAAATATGACAACATAATAGGAAATATAAAAACGTGTTTAGATCTTGCAACTGATAAAAAAGAAATTTGCTCGACAAAAAATACACCCTGGTATAACAAGAATATTAAGGCAGCTCAAAATTTGAGAGACAAACAATACAAAAAATGTATATTCACATAATCAAATGATGATTGGGAGGTATATAAAACTCTTAGGAATAAATGTGTGTATGTAATTAGAGAAGAAAAAAGGAAATTCTACGATAAACAAATCGATAATAACAAGTGCGACAGTGTAAAGATGTGGAAGACTTTAAAAAGACTGATCAATTCGAAACCGCATGATTGTGTAAATCAAGTTCAATTCGAAAACGGTACCGAAACAAATTCTTTGGTGATTGCAAACAAACTAAATGAATATTTTGTGGAAAGTATTGTTGATATTGTGGGTACTGCCAATGATGCACCTGACTATATGAAAATCAGTTTCCAGGGGGAAATGTCGCATACACTTTCAAAATTTCACAGCGTATCATTGAATTATCTAAAAAAAAGTAAACAGTTTAAAATCAAATAACAACTGTGCCGAAATCACTACTAAAAACGTGCTGAAAAACTGTTTCGAAATTTTGGGATATTCTGTATTAAATTGGATCAATTGTAGTTTAAAAAAATTTTACGTCCAATTGCGAATTGAAGACCAAGGTCATAGTGACCACTAATGGCCAAATATAGGTCAAAAATATGTGCTGCTAGGAAAACCACCACGAGTCTTACAGGATTAGTGACGAAAATAACTATCAAGGTCAGTTCTTTAGTACATTTTGACGGGTGATGACCTTGAAACCCACCTTCAATGTCATTTTTTCAAGATGACCGCTAGACAACAAATAGGTTAAATAAAGGTCAAATATGTGCTGCTAGTAAAACATCTAGAAATCTCACATAAATCGTGACGAAAATAACTGGTAAGGTCAGGTCTTTGTAAATTTTCACAAATAGCGGTGATCTTGGATGCCACCTTGAACCTCACCTTCAAGGTCATTTCAAGATCAACTCTATTTGATGCCGGCAATCCAGAGAGCCGGAAATTTTATGTTGAAATGAGTATTAGAAAAGGCCAAATGTGTGCTGCTAGGAAAGCTTATAGAAATCACACGTGAATAGTGACGAATAAAACAGGCGAGGTCAGATCGATTAAGTTTTGGCGAGGGAACTACAAATGATTTTTAATCCATACTGTTCCTGTGGGTCTCTATATAAAAAATGACCTTAAAATGACCTTGAAGGTAAAATTCAAGATCACTCGTCAAAATTTCATCACTAATGTGAGTTTTATAAAGGTTTTCCTAGCAGCACACATTTGTTCTTCATTTGCGCTTTAGTAGTCATCCTAACCTTGGACTTTAATTGTGTTTAAACGTAAACGTTTCTGTTCTTTCTATTGCTGGCATCGGAAATATTTATATTTATTATTATTATATATATATATATATATATATAGGTGAAAAATTAAAGCTTCCGCCTTTTGTTGGGTACTTCGACAAAATTTAAGCAAAGAGGACTCTTTATACTTTTTTTAATTCTCTCTAGCTTTCAATGGACTTTGCCATCATCATCAGGAGCTGCAATTACAATGATAACAGTAGCAACAAAAGTGTAAAATGAATTTAAATTGAACTAACTTACAGTAGTATGTGAGGATGTTGCTAATTGTTGTTTTCGTATAGGATGAGGGAAACGTCCAGTAACATGGTGAGAGCTGGATACATGGTACAATGGTTAAAATTATATAAAATATGACAAGACAAGTTAAAGACAGATTAAAAATTATTTAGAAAACATTAGAGCATTACGTCGTGAAGCCACTTGATGATTGCACAAAATGGTGGTCATGGAATGAATTGTGGGCGTGTGCCAAAACGTCGCCAAATCACTTCAGATGATGTGATTTTCAGAATGTTACGTAAGAAATTGTTAAACCGACTCACTCATTATTCCATGACCACCATTTTGTGCAATCATCAAGTGGCTTCACGACGTAATGCTCTAATGTTTTCTAAATAATTTTTAATCTGTCTTTAACTTGTCTTGTCATATTTTATATAATTTTAACCATTGTACCATGTATCCAGCTCTCACCATGTTACTGGACGTTTCCCTCATCCTATACGAAAACAACAATTAGCAACATCCTCACATACTACTGTAAGTTAATTCAATTTAAATTCATTTTACACTTTTGTTGCTACTGTTATCATTGTAATTGCAGCTCCTGATGATGATGGCAAAGTCCATTGAAAGCTAGAGAGAATTAAAAAAAGTATAAAGAGTCCTCTTTGCTTAAATTTTGTCGAAGTACCCAACACAAGGCGGAAGCTTTAATTTTTCACCTAACTGGTCTAGACGACAATGACCACGTCTCAAGTTATATATATATATATAATTTGAAAAAATATAGTTGACCGTAAATTAACCTTTAAATTCCTTGCTGAAAGATATGAAGGCCTGACCTTGATCTTTTCCAACATACCTTACCCGAGAAAATAGAGAGCCGGGACTTTTGTGTTACGCTGTATATAAATCTTGATACGGCAACTTTTCCAACTGTACACTACGAGTCGTCTGCGTAGTTGGTATTCCCCAATAGTTACAGCTGAGTCATAAGCATGCCTTCATGTGCATGAAGAATGGTCGCATTATTTATGCTTTTTTGCATGGTGAATGCTATATGCCATATGTCAATGGATTTAAAACATTGGAGACATATTAATGTACATTAAAACAGGGCAATCGAAATATGGATAATTACTGATCTTGAAAATATTAGTACAAAAGGTATTATAAAAGTTTTGCAAAATGACTTAAGGCTGCATGTTACTGCATATTGAGACATGTCCATGAGTGCATAGTAGCCGCCGGCAGCACGTCTGTTGATTTAGTTGTATTGACAGCATAAAGTGCGGACTATCGTGTCGTGGTCACGTAGTTACATAAGGGCAGTTTTACGGTATAACTTTATGCGTGGTTTAAGAATAGACCAGTGCTTAGAAGAAATAACGCTAGCATTAAAGAATGATTGAAACTTTGTTCTCTCATGGTACCGCATAATCTGACGGAAGAGCAGAAGACTCGTAACGACTTGGTGCCGAAAGATGCTGAAAATGTTTGGTAAGGGGCAATCTCGATATCTGAACAGCACCGTGACAAGTGACGAGAGTTGGCTCTATCATTAGGATGTGCTGGCCAATGCTCAAAACAAAGTTTCGGTCTTTGATGATCAGGACACACCCGTAGCTGTCAGAAAATCCCGATCTATTAAGAAAAAAATGATAGCTGTATTTTGTAGTTTGTTTTGCACACACAGAAGACAGTCACTGCTAAGTGGTACACGGAACGGCGCCTGCCTAAAGTCATAGTCTATTAAAAACTTGCGGTCAAAGTCATGAATGGACAGTTGGTACCTCCACCATGACAACCCCCCAGCCTGCACCGAGTATTTGACCACTTCTGGACTGAGCACCCTCATTACAGTCCAGATCTTGCTCCCTGCACTGTTTCCGCATGTGAAAATGAAGCCAAAAGGTTTTCTAGAGATGAGGAACTTCTGGGGGATTGGAACAACGAGTGTGCCGTACTCTCGGGTGAAACTTGGCAGAACTGGTTTTGGCGGACGGAGAAATGAATTGAATGTGGGGGAAATTACTTTGAACGAAATCAAATAAATGAAGCTGTATTGAAAAACGTTTAAGTACGCTTTGTAGTATTATGCAATGCCGTACTTCGCCCAGCCTGATACAGCTTATTCCCTAGATTAAACTGTGTATCAGTATGAAAAACCACTAAATCCGCAACACTGGATTTAAGCAAAGGATAGCTGAACCTCCTCCTTTGAAAATTAAGCAATGTTTTAAGTAACAATATTTTTTGACGTTAACCTTGAATAACTCAAGACGCCGACACGAGATTACATGTGATAAAAAATGTCGAAACGAGGATCAATCGATACCCTGCTCCTTTTTGAGGTTGAAAACTTAATTGCCTGCACCGAGTATTTGAAAACTTCTGGACTGAGCACCCTCATTACAGTGCAGATCTTGCTCCCTGCACTATTTCCGCATGTGAAAATGAAGCTAAAAGGTTTTCTAGAGATGAGGAACTTCTGGGGGATTGGAACAACGAGTGTGCCGTACTCTCGGGTGAAACTTGGCAGAACTGGTTTTGGCGGATGGAGAAATGAATTGAATGTGGTGGAAACCACTTTGAACGAAATCAAATAAATGAAGCTGTATTGAAAAACTTTTAAGTACGCTTTGTAGTATTATGCAATGCCGTACTTCGACCAGCCTGATACAGCTTATTCCCTAGATTAAACTGTGTATCTGTATGTCAAATCACTAAATCCGCAACACTGGATTTAAGCAAAGGATAGCTGAACCTCCTTTGAAAATTAAGCAATGTTTTAAGTAACAATATTTTTTGGCGTTAACCTTGAATAACTCAAGACGCCGACACGAGATTACATGTGATAAAAAATGTCGAAACGAGGATCAATCGATACCCTGCTCCTTTTTGAGGTTGAAAACTTAATTGCCTGCACCGAGTATTTGAAAACTTCTGGACTGAGCACCCTCCTTACAGTCCAGATCTTGCTCCCTGCACTGTTTCCGCATGTGAATATGAAGCTAAAAGGTTTTCTAGAGATGAGGAACTTCTGGGGGATTGGAACAACGAGTGGGCCGTACTCTCGGGTGAAACTTGGCAGAACTGGTTTTGGCGGATGGAGAAATGAATTGAATGTGGTGGAAATTACTTTGAACGAAATCAAATAAATGAAGCTGTATTGAAAAACTTTTAAGTACGCTTTGTAGTATTATGCAATGCCGTACTTCGACCAGCCTGATACAGCTTATTCCCTGGATTAAACTGTGTATCTGTATGTCAAATCACTAAATCCGCAACACTGGATTTAAGCAAAGGATAGCTGAACCTCCTTTGAAAATTAAGCAATGTTTTAAGTAACAATATTTTTTGACGTTAACCTTGAATAACTCAAGGCGCCGACACGAGATTACATGTGATAAAAAATATCGAAACGAGGATCAATCGATACCCTGCTCCTTTTTGAGTCTGAAAACTTAATTGCCTGCACCGAGTATTTGAAAACTTCTGGACTGAGCACCCTCCTTACAGTCCAGATCTTGCTCCCTGCACTGTTTCCGCATGTGAAAATGAAGCTAAAAGGTTTTCTAGAGATGAGGAACTTCTGGGGATTGGAACAACGAGTGTGCCGTACTCTCGGGTGAAACTTGGCAGAACTGGTTTTGGCGGATGGAGAAATGAATTGAATGTGGTGGAAATTACTTTGAACGAAATCAAATAAATGAAGCTGTATTGCAAAACTTTCAAGTACGCTTTGTAGTATTATGCAATGCCGTACTTCGACCAGCCTGATACAGCTTATTCCCTAGATTAAACTGTGTATCTATATGTAAAACCACTAAATCCGCAACACTGGATTTAAGCAAACGATAGCTGAACCTCCTCCTTTGAAAATTAAGCAATGTTTTAAGTAACAATATTTTTTGACGTTAACCTTGAATAACTCAAGACGCCGACACGAGATTACATGTGATAAAAAATGTCGAAACGAGGATCAATCGATACCCTGCTCCTTTTTGAGGTTGAAAACTTAATTGCCTGCACCGAGTATTTGAAAACTTCTGGACTGAGCACCCTCCTTACAGTCCAGATCTTGCTCCCTGCACTGTTTCCGCATGTGAAAATGAAGCTAAAAGGTTTTCTAGAGATGAGGAACTTCTGGGGGATTGGAACAACGAGTGGGCCGTACTCTCGGGTGAAACTTGGCAGAACTGGTTTTGGCGGACGGAGAAATGAATTGAATGTGGTGGAAACCACTTTGAACGAAATCAAATAAATGAAGCTGTATTGAAAAACTTTTAAGTACGCTTTGTAGTATTATGCAATGCCGTACTTCGACCAGCCTGATACAGCTTATTCCCTAGATTAAACTGTGTATCTGTATGTCAAATCACTAAATCCGCAACACTGGATTTAAGCAAAGGATAGCTGAACCTCCTTTGAAAATTAAGCAATGTTTTAAGTAACAATATTTTTTGGCGTTAACCTTGAATAACTCAAGACGCCGACACGAGATTACATGTGATAAAAAATGTCGAAACGAGGATCAATCGATACCCTGCTCCTTTTTGAGGTTGAAAACTTAATTGCCTGCACCGAGTATTTGAAAACTTCTGGACTGAGCACCCTCCTTACAGTCCAGATCTTGCTCCCTGCACTGTTTCCGCATGTGAATATGAAGCTAAAAGGTTTTCTAGAGATGAGGAACTTCTGGGGGATTGGAACAACGAGTGGGCCGTACTCTCGGGTGAAACTTGGCAGAACTGGTTTTGGCGGATGGAGAAATGAATTGAATGTGGTGGAAATTACTTTGAACGAAATCAAATAAATGAAGCTGTATTGAAAAACTTTTAAGTACGCTTTGTAGTATTATGCAATGCCGTACTTCGACCAGCCTGATACAGCTTATTCCCTGGATTAAACTGTGTATCTGTATGTCAAATCACTAAATCCGCAACACTGGATTTAAGCAAAGGATAGCTGAACCTCCTTTGAAAATTAAGCAATGTTTTAAGTAACAATATTTTTTGACGTTAACCTTGAATAACTCAAGGCGCCGACACGAGATTACATGTGATAAAAAATATCGAAACGAGGATCAATCGATACCCTGCTCCTTTTTGAGTCTGAAAACTTAATTGCCTGCACCGAGTATTTGAAAACTTCTGGACTGAGCACCCTCCTTACAGTCCAGATCTTGCTCCCTGCACTGTTTCCGCATGTGAAAATGAAGCTAAAAGGTTTTCTAGAGATGAGGAACTTCTGGGGATTGGAACAACGAGTGTGCCGTACTCTCGGGTGAAACTTGGCAGAACTGGTTTTGGCGGATGGAGAAATGAATTGAATGCGGTGGAAATTACTTTGAACGAAATCAAATAAATGAAGCTGTATTGAAAAACTTTTAAGTACGCTTTGTAGTATTATGCAACGCCGTACTTCGACCAGCCTGATACAGCTTATTCCCTAGATTAAACTGTGTATCTATATGTAAAACCACTAAGTCCGTAACACTGGATTTAAGCAAAGGATAGCTGAACCTCCTCCTTTGAAAATTAAGCAATGTTTTAAGTAACAATATTTTTTGACGTTAACCTTGAATAACTCGAGACGCCGACACGAGATTACATGTGACTTTTGAGCCAAGATAAAAAATGTCGAAACAAGGGTTGAAAACTTAATTTCTTGGTTTAGTAAATATAATTTGATACCAACCTCTTTTTTAGATTAATCTTCTCCTCCGTCATTATCAACTTCACAGTTTTCCTTTTCCTCCTCTAAGTTCATTGCATTTTCCTTTTCGGTACTTTCTTCATCCTCCTTCTCATCGTCTCCCTTTTCTTTATCACGTTCCGCGTCCCCTACGTACTCTTTATCGTATTTCTCGAACATTGCCCTTACTAGAATGCACTTGGTCATATGACAAAGGCAATATTCTGGATGTTCTACTTCCTCGGGATCCAGCATTGTCACTTCTATGATATACCTGATTCAAAAAATATGTTTATACATAGTGTCCCAGACTAACAAGTAAATCGCTCGTATACATATTAGGGTGTTCCAAAAAAATTAAAGTTCTTTTTTTTCAAACGCATACATACTCTTTAATTTTTTCCATTTGGCTAACAACTCAAAAAATAAATACTATTGCGACCGGGGAACGATAATTGACTTTCGGTCGAACTTTGAATTTGAAAATTAATAGGGAAACCATGTATGGGTTTCAAAACCTAATTCTTATTCGACAAATAAAACACTGCTTTATTTGTATATCATATTTCTTAGATATTTATGATTAAAACAACATTATTTACTAAATTTTCTTTTCAGTCAGGAAATATACAGGGGGAGCCGGTGGGGCGAGATAGTACAAGCCAATCCGAGTCGATTTTACTATAGGAACTACTGTCCGAAAATTAGCCGTTTTCGAACTATACTAATTTTTAAGATTTCATAAAATGAACGTCCTTTATACGTTAACCAAGTCATAGAACTTGAAAATTGGATGTTTGATTTGATTTTTTTTTGTTTTACAATAAAAATATTCTAAAATACGAAAATTGATACTCAAACGTACATTATTGACGTTATCTCATGCAGTGAGCTTCAAAATAGTTTAATTTTTGTTAAAAAAAATCTTCGTTCATCCTAAAATCTCAATTTACTAGAAACAATCACCTACAAATTTTTCGTGCGAAACAATTTTAAAATATCTAAGTTTCATTACCTTTCAAATGAGGTATCAAAGTCACAAACCGGTTATAGAAAGGATAAAAATATGAGTGAAAGAAACAGGTAGAGCCGCGAAGATCGTACTTTGCCACCGGAATAGTGTGATAAGAAAGACTAGCCACCCCCCTCCCTCCCTCGCTTCAATCTGCTCTTGCGATTTGTTGCGTTCGGATGTGTTTGTTTGCTCGCTGTTTTGGAATTTCTAACGACTTGGCTCTTGTTGGACTTCCGTGTGTGATTCTTTTCCTGATGACCTAGACCATTGATTCCCAAAGTGGTCTATATCGACCCGTAGGGGTCTATGACAACCTGCAAGAGGTCTACGTCAGCGAAAAAAAATTTGGGGGTCCATGAAATGAATATGGGGGTCCACGATAGTACCTAATAGTACCTATTTACTTACATCATACTATCTTATAATATCAAAACATATACATCATTTATAAAAGTACCTATGAAGTAAAAAATTTATTATATATGTTTATAAAATTGTGTAAGTTGAAGGATGTTGGTATTCGCTTTGTGGTCACAATACATTTTGAACTTGTAAAAACCTGAGAGTCGCAGTCTCAGAGGTTCGCTACCTTGCACTGACTTGTTCAATTCGTCACTCTATAAATACGAATGTGGGACAAATACGTTTATTCGTTTCCTGAATCTTGGTAAGGAAAGTGCTAAGAAAATATTTTAAAAAATATAAACAGATAGTATATCACACAAATTATAGTGAGTCAGTGTTATTTTGTTTGAGAGTGCTGGAGAAAAGTAAGTACATTATTTTTTATTAAATTTTAGTTTTGTACTCGTAGTTAGCAAAGATAGATAAATTACGCCAATCATGACTTTAGTTATTAGTAGTTAAATATTCAATCATGCAAAATTACACGAGTACTGCTCAATAGTTTATTTTTGAAAGTTTTAGCAATCGGTAATATAATTACAGTGCAATCTCCGTAATTCGAGCTAATTGTTGCAAGAAGATGTTCGAATTATGGAATGTTTTCGGAAAAATCAAAAAATATTTTTAATATACAGCTGCTGGATTTTCTGTCTTATTTAAATAATTTAATTTTGCCCACAGATGACTGATGCCATGTCCGAATCTAAAAAGAAATGTAGACAGTACAGTGTTGATTATTTGAAATTTGGCTTCATTCCATCATTGTCAGACAAACAATCGCCTATGTGCCTTTTATGCAACAAAGTTTTGGGCAATGACGCTATGAAACCATCTAAACTGCAAGATCATCTGAGAAGATCCCACCCTGATAAAACAGAGAAAGATTTGAAATACTTTCAAACACTCAAAGATTAATTTCAGAAGAGACCCACACTGGACAGAATGTTCGCTTTGACGTCACAAAGAAATGATGATGGTTTGCAGACGTCTTACAATATCTCGTTACTTATAGCAAAATCCGGAAAATCGCATTCTATCGGAGAAAAGTTAATTTTGCCAGCCGTTGAAGAGGTTTTAAAAACTGTTTTACACAAACCTGCATCTGATATCATTAAAAGAATTCCCTTAAGCAACGATACTGTTGAAAGACGTATTGATGAAATGAGTTCTGATATCGAAAGCTTCTTATGCAATTATTTGCAAACGACCCATTTCTCTATACAACTGGACGAGTCAACTTTACCTGATAATGCAGCATTATTATTGGCATATGTTCGTTTTATTATGAATCAAGAAATCTACGAAGAACTGCTCTTCGCAAGAACTTTGATAACCGACACTAAAGGTGAATCAATATTTCATGTTTTGAAGGATTACTTCATTGAAAAAGCAATTCCTTTATCAAATATAATATCAGTAGCTACAGATGGAGCACCTGCCATGGTTGGACGTTATCGTGGATTTATAAGCTATTTAAAACAAAATGTGTCAGGGGTGTTAGCAATACATTGCGTCATCCATCGACAAAATTTAGTTGCTAAAAATTTGAGTGTTAGATTGCATGAATCACTTCATTTAGTCATTGATGCAGTAAACCGAATCCGAAGCAACGCGTTGAATACGCGGTTATTTGCTCAGTTGTGCGAAGAAAATGACGAACACTTTCATCAATTACTCCTTCACACTGAAGTACGCTGGCTGTCGAAAGGCTTATGTTTGACAAGATTTTTTGCACTTTTTGAGACTATTTTAGAATTTCTGGATACTAAAGGTAAAATTTTAAAAGAGAAGAACCCCCTTTTATAGAAAATATATTTTTTTTAAATTATTCTGAAAATTCAAGGATAGGTACACACTAAAATTCGTTAATTTTTTGCCTATTTTTAGATAACTTAAACGTATAAGAAGCGGAATTTAATCAAACTAACAGTGAAATTATTGTAGAACATACGTTTATTTTATAATTAATAAACGAACTCGCTTATTGTACTATTTTAAGTAAAAAACTTTTTTTTTATTTTATCCCTCTTATTTTTTTTCAATGCAGGCACTTATTAGTCGGACACCTGTTTATTTAATGTTACGTATATTGTACATAACAGATACAAAATTTTATTTTGAGTAGTTTTAATTCAAATTCAATTAATAAATGTATAAATTAACATGTGTTTTTACTTTAAGTTTTTAACATTAAACTTCACTACAGTTAGAAATTTACAGGAAATCAATATCAGGTAAGTAGGGGGTCTACCCAACACGGAAAAACATGGCAAGGGGTCTACGACACAAAAAAGTTTGGGGAACTCTGACCTAGACTGTACCCTGTTTTCTGTGATTCCTTACGACTTGGCTACTATGTGGCTTGATTGTTCGTTGATCTACCTATCGATGAAAATGGCTGATGAACAAAGGACGCGGCCGTTCAAGTTTTATTTTAAACGCTGATGTTGAAGTATTTAAGAAAAATTCTATGGACCGACGAATCGAAATTTGATAAAGACGGCATAACAAACTACCATTACGCTCACTATTGGCGTGAACGTGTAGTGGGAAATCCTCATATGAGGAGACCAAAAGGATCTCAAAGGCGATTTTGTCTGAATGTCTGGATGGGCATTATAAATAACTGGTAGGACCACATTTCCTTCCCGACAACTTAAATGGAGAAGCCTACGAAAATTTCTTAAGAAATGTTCTATTTGAATTACTTGAAGACGTGCCGCTACACGCAAGACACACAATGATTTTTCAGCATGACGGGAGCCCAGCACATTTCAGACTAAGTGTTAGAAATTGTTTAAATGAGCAGTTTCCGAATCGATGGATCGGTAGAGGCGGACCGATCCCATGGCCAGCACGCAGTCCCGATCTCACACCTATGGACTTTTTTGTGTGGGGTCGCATGAAAACTTTAGTATACTCTGATCAAAATCCTGTACCCACAATAGAAGACCTCAGAAACAGGTAATATATGCAGCACATGAAATTCAAGCGTCTCAGGAATTCGGCGGTAGTAAAATCAGCTGTCATAAGAAGAGCACGTGTGTACATTAGAAATAGAGGGTGCCATATTGAAGATGTATTACAGAAATAAAAACATGCAGTTTCAAATAAATTATCCTGTATTAAGGTATGATTTTGTAAGTGTAGTATTTTTATTGCTTTTTCCTTCCTCTTATAACACTGGTCAACACTGGTTTTGCCACACGAACTTTGACAGCTAATTTTGTTTTATCAGTCTACCCTCATTATTACATGACAGCTGTCATATGTCTATTAGCCTCATATTTGTTGTGATACGGTAATACTCATAACTAGTACTACGGCAGTAAATTAACAGAAACGCTTACAAGTAAATCCTTATAAAAATATTTGTTGTTGAATTTGAACACTTTTTTGTGATTTATTAACCCTGTGAATATGTCGAGGAAGTGTAATAATGATCCTAACTCTTTTTGTTATGTCTGCGGAGAACTAACATTCAAAAAACAACGACGTAATTTTACGAATCTTGTGTTGGAGTGTTATCACCAATGTTTTGGTTTTTCTGTCGCCCATCAGGACAAATCCTGGGCCCCTCATGTCTGTTGCATAACGTGTGTGAAAAATTTAACTGACTGGAAGAAAGGTGCACGACCTATGCCGTTTGCTGTACCCATGATATGGACTGAACAGCGAGATCACGTTTCAGATTGCTATTTTTGTCTCACAGACATAAAAGGTATAAATTACAAGAAAAAAACCACAGTTATTTACCCTAACTTATCTTCGGCTATAAGACCAGTCTCTCATTGTAAAAAATTGCCAGAACTAATACCAGTTGCAACTACTTGAAGAATAATCGTGAAAAACAGGCGCGCCAATTATTTACAATTAAGTGCTCTGTGGAGTGACGCTGTTGGAAGGAGAATTTCGAGGTCCACAACTCATAGAGAGGCCCACAAACTGGGATTTAGCACTTGCAAGGTAAGTTTTCTTATATCAACTCCTGCAAAAGAAAAATCGGCTTAGATGGGCTAAAGAACATAGACAATGGACACCTCAACAATGGTGTGCAATCTATTATGGTCTGGGGCAGTATGTCATCAAACGGAGTAGGAAAACTTCATTTTATTGATGGAAATGTGGATACAAACAAATATTTGGCAATTTTAGAAGAATCGCTTTTACCAGTGATGGTAGAATGTTTGACATCCGGCCAAGATTTTGTGTTTCAGCAAGATGGTGTAGCGTGCCATACCTCAAACAAGGCTATAAAATGGATGGAAGAAAATAATTTGCCACTTTTGAAATGGGTTTCTAGCAGTCCAGATCTGTCACCTATTGAAACTTTGTGGCACGAGATGAAAAAGGTTCTACGACAACATCCCGCTCGTACAATCACCGAACTGAGACAAAAGCTTCACAGAAATGTGGGATTGTTTCACACCAAATTTTTTTTCCAAAATTTGGTTAACACTATGCCCCAAAGAATTTCAGCCGTAATAAGAAATAAAGGTGATGTTACCCAATGGTAATCTTTCTTTGTTAACTTCGCGCATTTATTCGCACATTGTTTATTTGTTCAGATGTTCTATTAGTTATAGGTCTAAGTGATTTCAAATATGTATTTTTTACGACTAGAGTGTATTTAAAATATTTTTGAGAGTAAATAGTTTCGTCATGTTTAGTTTATAAAGGCATATTTTGGTACAAATCTTGAAGTGGACCAACTGAAGTGGGAAGGGGCTCGTATAATCTGGATAGCTTCTTTAATGTCAACGTCAGTCTGACGATGCTTTTAAAGTGAAACGCGCCTTGACTTCTGTGTTTTACTGTGAAACTAGTAAATTATCCTAAATAATCATATATGATGGAGGCATTTCAGCAAGTAAGAACATCTACAATCTACAATTTACCATTCTTTCTAGCACTTTTCTGCAGTACATAAAAAGTAAATAAACTACAAAAAGTAAATAAAAACACTTTGCTTAAAAACGCTCTTTGAACTCCCAATGTACAGTCAATAACATGCAATACTGGTATCATTTAAGCTTGAGCATCAGGTTCTATGGACATTTAGCTAACAAATGTTTTGTCGGTTGACAGGTTACCTCACTTTGAAATATTACACTGGTCAACAGTGGTTTTGCCACACGAACTTTGATAGCTAATTTTGTTTTATCAGTCTACCCTCATTATTACATGACAGCTGTCATATGTCTATTAGCCTCATATTTGTTGTGATACGGTAATACTCATAACTAGTACTACGGCAGTAAATTAACAGAAACGCTTACAAGTAAATCCTTATAAAAATATTTGTTGTTGAATTTGAACACTTTTTTGTGATTTATTAACCCTGTGAATATGTCGAGGAAGTGTAATAATGATCCTAACTCTTTTTGTTATGTCTGCGGAGAACTAACATTCAAAAAACAACGACGTAATTTTACGAATCTTGTGTTGGAGTGTTATCACCAATGTTTTGGTTTTTCTGTCGCCCATCAGGACAAATCCTGGGCCCCTCATGTCTGTTGCATAACGTGTGTGAAAAATTTAACTGACTGGAAGAAAGGTGCACGACCTATGCCGTTTGCTGTACCCATGATATGGACTGAACAGCGAGATCACGTTTCAGATTGCTATTTTTGTCTCACAGACATAAAAGGTATAAATTACAAGAAAAAAACCACAGTTATTTACCCTAACTTATCTTCGGCTATAAGACCAGTCTCTCATTGTAAAAAATTGCCAGAACTAATACCAGTTGCAACTACGTCTGTTGAGAACAATTCACAACCGTCCACTTCAGGTGAATGTGTTGACGAGGACAATGACTTTGAGTTAAAAGGAATTGTAAACGAGCCACATTTGATAACTCAAGGAGACCTAAATGATTTGGTTCGGGATTTAAATTTGTCAAAAAAGCAGTCAGAACTATTGGGATCACGTCTAAAAGAATGGAATTTGCTACATCATAATACAAAAGTTAGCTATTTTCGAAACCGTGATCAACACTTCAGAACCTATTTTTCTCAGGATGGAGATTTGGTGTTTTGCAATAACATAAACGAGATTATGAAAATGTTGGACATAGATTTTGATCTCTCTCAGTGGCGTTTATTCATTGATTCTTCGAAAGCAAGTCTAAAAGCAGTGTTATTGCATAATTGAAATAAGCTTCCGTCTGTACCTCTGGCCCATGCTGCAAATATGAAAGAAACCTATGAAAATATGAAACTTTTACTTGAAAAAATAAATTACAGTACCTATTCCTTCAAAATCTGCGGTGATCTTAAAGCTGTTGCACTATTACTTGAACTTCAGCTGGGTTATACAAAGTTTTGCTGCTTTTTATGTGAATGGGATAGCCGAGACAGAACTAATCACTATATAAAAAAAACATGGCCTACGCGTGCATCGTTAGTTCCTGGGCAAAAAAACGTAAAGTATTTACCCCTTGTTCAGCCAAATAATGTGCTTCTACCACCATTGCATATCAAATTAGGATTAATAAAAAATTTTGTGAAGGCAATGGATCGCAATGGGAGTGGATTTTTGTATCTAAAAGAAAAATTCCCTAAAATAAGTGATGCAAAGATAAAAGAGGGTATTTTTGTTGGCCCTCAAATTAGGGAGTTAATAAAAGATTCAAGATTTGAAGAAAAATTAAGCGATTTAGAAACATCTGCATGGAAGGCTTTTAAAAATGTTGTTTCAAATTTTTTGGGTAACTACAAGAGTGGCAGCTACAGAGAGTTGGTTAGCGAGCTATTATTGTCATATCACGCATTGGGTTGCAACATGTCACTTAAGATCCATTTTTTAGACTCGCACCTGGATTTTTTTCCTGACAATTTAGGGGCTGTCAGCGACGAGCACGGTGAGAGGTTCCATCAGGACATTTCTAATATGGAAAAGCGGTACCAGGGCAAATGGAGCCCAAATATGTTAGCAGATTACTGCTGAACAATTAAAAGGGACCAACCAGAAGCTAAATATTCAAGAAAATCTTAGATTATTAAGTCATTTATAAAAAAAATAACTTTTGATTTACGAGATCGTGTGTTTTTTCTTAATATTTTAAATTACTCAATAGAATAAAATCCTTGTCTAGCAAATTTTTTTTAACTGTTTATTTTTTCTTACAATCACCAGTTAAAGTAAACAATATCAAAAAAATCCGTGTGGCACGACAAAGTTAAAATTTTGTTGACCAGTGTAATAGTCATATTTTTGTCAATTCTTAATCGATTTGTGATTTTTATACCTCATTTGAAAGATAATGAAACGTAGATGTTTTCTAATTATTTTGTCGAAAAATTTGTATGCGACTTTTTCTAGTAAACTGAAGCTTTTGACATGAACGAAGATTTTGTTAACAAAAATCGAACTATTTTTTCTGAGTTTTTAGAGTCACATTGATAGCCTTTATAGGCTGGGACATCCTAATGTACATGCCATAAAAAATGTCGATTATAGACAAAACCGTAGTAACTATGGTAATTCATAAATTTCGTGGAGATGCGGCTCCAACATTTTCAACGCGCATGACGTGCAGCAGCAGAAAGCAATAGATAAGAGCAGAGCACCTCCTACCTTCTACAATTTTCTGGCGATTGCTTCAAGGAAAGATCATAAGCTATGGGTGTCCCTAATTCTACTGGCACATCTGTCGGTAACACAATAACTGTCTGTTTCCAATGTGTAGGAAGTTCTTCTGGTTCTGTAGATAGTGTAACTGGCTCTGTTTGTACGCTCGGGAATGTGCAGGTGAACCAAAGACAAATACCTACGAAAATGGACGTCAAGTAGGTTGGCTCTAATAGATACACAGTAGCATCGAATGATCAGTAGTCCTCAGTCAAACTGGAAAAGTACCGCGTACATTTTCCAGATTCCTTCCTATGTTTCAAGTTCAACCCAGTGGGATCTCGAAAACTGTAAGAGATATGAAGTCGCTAAAATTGGGGAAAAGTTGCGTGTTTAGGTAAACAACAAAATCCCGCTTAGAAAGTTTAAAATTCAAAGTACTTTCGGAGAGTGGCAACAAAAAACCGAATTTTCCAAAAAAGTGGCTTTGCTAATGTGCAATTTAGTTTGAAATCCCACTACAAATAAAGTAAAAATTCGGTATTTTCCGTCTCTCTCCGGAAGTACTTTGGATTTCGAAACTAAGTGACATTTTGTTGAACATGTAAATACGCAACTTTGCCCCCGTTTAAGCGACTTTGTATCTCTTCAGTTTCAGAAATCTCAATGGCGAGGGTCGAATTTGAAACACCCTGTATAGGTTTGCTATTATACGAAGTTATGTAACACCCTGTATACAGGGTGACTTCGAAGTTGAGTCATTTATCTTAACAGTGAGTAGATCTAATCAAAAGAAATGTTTTTTTCCTTTACCATTTTTTTGGTAAAATTAAAGTAACAAAGTTATAGCCCTTTGGAAGTTTGAGTACCGCCCTGTCTCAATAATAATATCATGTGCTCGTGTTTGGCGACAACGGATATAATCCGCCTTATCGGTTCATCGCATCGGAAACAAAAAAGCGAAAGAATTTGGAACGATGTTTTTACAATTATTTTATTCAGTTGTATACATACAGTCAGTGTCAGTCGGTAATGCGTATGAATAGTGGTGTCTGTTGCGTGGCTCAAACGAAATCAAAAATGGCACATGTTTATGCGGATCGGTTTCCCAATCGAGTGCAACCAACCCCTCGTGCCTTTGTTAATGTAGTACAACGGGCTCGTGAATCAGGTGACTTAAGACCTCACAGGGGACCTCACGATGAAATACAGGTCCGCACTGAAATACTTGTCGGGAGGATACTTTATAAAACAAGACATTTTTTTTTAATTTTTTTTTTATTTTTACACACATGTTTTGGTTTATCTTCCTTCTACAATCATTATCTGAAAATTAATGACTCAACTTCAAATTCACCCTGTATACTCAGTGACAGAAGTGTTATAATCAGAAAAAAATAATTTCATCAACTTGATTTTTTGGCAATTAGGTAAGTCTTGCATCCAGAATGAAACGATAACATTCTCACGAAAGTTTATTGAGAAGTAATAAGAAAAAAATAATAATGTGTTAGGCGACCACGCAGCAGAATACACTATAAAGGGTTGTCCAATAGGGACGCAGAAAAGTAAAGGTCAATTTGACATAGACGCCATCTTTGTTTTCTGTCACCGACATGTCATTTTGTTAGTTGAATGTTTAACATTGATTGCTATGGAGTCGTATTCGATTGAAGACCGCATTAAAGTTATTCAAGAGCACTACAAAAATGGTGCAAAAATAAAAAACATGTTTCGCGCGCTTCGTGAACATTTCGGTCGCAACAACCGCCCAAACGAAATAACCGTCGGTCGTCTGGTGCGTAAATTCGAGGCAACAGGTTCTGTGGCAAATCTGCCAGGCTCTGGCCGGCCAAGGAGCGTTCGCATACCGGAAAATATTGCTGTTGTGAAGGAGAGTGTGAGAGACGATCCGAAACAATCAACAACGCGTCGATCCCAAGAATTGGGCATTTCGAAAACCAGTTTGCTCCCCATTCTCCACAAGGATTTGAATGTACACGCCTACAAGATCCAATTGACTCAAGAGCTGCGTCGGGCCGACCATTTTTCGCGCCGAACGTTCTCAGATTGGTTCCTTGAACACCGCCAAATTGATGCCAATTTTTCATCAAAAATCATGTTCAGCGACGAAGCGCATTTCACTTTGAATGGGACGGTAAACAAGCAAAACTGCCGCATCTGGGCGAACGAAAATCCCCGTGAGTATCAAGAGCGGCCGATGCATCCTCAAAAAGTGACTGTGTGGTGTGCATTGTGGTCAAAAGGCATCATCGGACCTTACTTTTTCGAAAATGCGGCCGGGGACGCCGTTACCGTCAATTCTGAGCGATATCACGTGATGATAGAGGACTATTTTTTGCCGCAACTTGAAGGAATGGATATGGACGATGTTTATTTCCAACAAGACGGTGCAACATGCCACACAACCAACGTCAATATCCATCGATTGCAGTCCTTCTTCGGTGATCGCGTGATTTCGCGCAGAGGAAATGTGCCATGGCCGCCAAGATCGTGCGATTTGACTCCCTTGGACTTCTTTTTATGGGGATATTTGAAAAGCAAAGTCTACGTCAACAAACCAGCCACCCTCCAAGAACTCGAAAACAACATCATTGCCTAGATAAATGCCATAGAACCGACCATGTTGCAAAATGTCATTGAAAACTTCGACCATCGCGTGGACGTCTGTAAATCCAGTCGTGGTGAACATTTGAGCGATATTATTTTTCATACATAAATAGTATAAATGAACCTTCAAAATAAAGTACCCAACTTGATTTGAATATCAATCTTTCTTGTTTTAATATGCGTTTACTTTCCTGCGTCCGATTTGGACAAACCTTATTATACAGGGTCCAGCAAAATGATCTCCCACATTTTAAACTTCTTTCTTGGCATATCGCTGCTTAAATTTCGTCAATGGTTCTGGAATGGTGTTGAAAAACGTTTGGTCTCAGATAGCCCCAAAGGAACAAGTCGCATTGGGCAACATGAGCCGTAGCTCCAACCTGTTGAAACCACACATCCGGATGCTTTAAGCTTTGGTTACAAAAAATTGCGTAGCATGTCGACATATCGATCGGCAGTTACTGTGACGTCTCGCCTCCCTCTTAAAAAAAAAATACGCCAAACCCAAACGCCAAAAGATCCAACAGTACATCAAACGGTAACTCGCGGGCTGTGAAGTGGCCTTTCATGGAGCTGCCGCGACTGTTCTGGTGCACAGTAGTGAAAATTCTGCTTCTTCACACAGCCAGGCACGAAGTGAGTACGAAAATTTCTTTGAGCGGTATAAACGGGTCTACAACTGTGTTCCGATGACGACAACTAAAATGGCAAGGCGCGAGCTATCAACCGACTTCACTGATTCGGGCACAGTAGCGATGCAAAATGTGGGAGATCATTTTGCCGGACCCTATATAAATTAGTTACAACGCAATCTACACGTGTGCTATATAAAAACGATAAAGGTAGATAATAATAAAATCAATCTGGTGTCCAACTCTTATGAAACATACCTTGATATCTTCCTTCCTTATTCGCAACAGCAACGTGCCTCATCTCTATGCTTTTAATATCGTCACAGGTCACTTCTCTGAGATCTAACCATACGACAACCTCAGCGTCGGATAGCAAATCGTCTGAGGCAACGATCTCAGTCACTGGCTTTTTAGAGGCTTGTTCGCGAAGTTTAGACGCCAAACAGTTCATTGACACGCCTTGTACGTCCTGCCAGTAACCGTAAAGTGAGGGTATGCTGAAAACAGAAAGCGCATTCTAATGAAGATGTACGTATAGCCACAGTATAATGTAGAACATTTATTTCAACTTATTTCCTATGCCACAACTAGAGACGAAGTATTGTAACCGCGGAAAATTTCGAAATTGAGATATTATGCTTTTTGGACGTTATATGACATGTACATCACGAGAAACCATGTCACTCATTTCCGTCGGTATGTCCGCTAGTTCTATAACCGCCTATAACTTAATTAGTATCGCTCGAATTTTGATGAATTTTATCACGAGGTTACTATCATGCCAAGGATGAAAAACCTTTGTAGTTTTTGAAAATTGGTCTAGTCGTGGCGGAACTAGGGGCAAAAACATATTCAGAGAACCATCATAAATGGAGTAGCACAAATTAAAGGTTAGACGAAATGGGTGGTACATTTAAGGATCATACAATTAAGGGCCAATTTCACCAAATATACCGTCAAATACAACGAATGAGCTTCAAGTTCCAATCAACAAATTTTAGCAACCAATAGCGATGAAATGTTGAAAACAAAATACTGTCAAAGTATGAGATGACAGCTTGTCATTGAAACATCACCAGCTTATTGAATATTAAGAAATTACATACAATTCAGTCAAAATTTAAAGAAATGTTGGATTTTTTAATAAAATTCATGTTTTAATTACTATTGTTGATTTTTTATTCATGTTTATATTATTTTCTTCGATTGATATGCGATACTGGGTGTTTTTTTCCTATAAACCTCTTGCAGATAGCCATTAAGCACCTACTTGATGACAGGCTCTACCAAAAGATATTGCTCGTTTCCAAACTTTCATTCATTTACTTGCCGTTCATCAGAACCATTATGGCACCTTAGGTTGATATTCCCACAAAACCATTCAGGTTTTTTGATATCCATACATCCATAAAGTTGAATATTTTTCGTTGTTCAGGAACTGAACAAACATCCACACTATATTCACAGCGATTAAGAAATTCCCAAATATATGCCTTAAAGCTACCAGCAAACCTAAAACCTGCAAAAAAACTACAAATTTGCCATATTTTTCTTTTTTCACGAGTACACATTCTAGGTTATATTTATATTAGACATTGTTTGAATACAGCTGATTATTGCATTTCAAGGAGTGACACATGTGTGGGATCTGTCAATGACAACACGGTGACTTGTGTGGTTGTCAGCGGCCATTTTGTGAGGGTGCGTCAGGGTTGCCAGATTGTGCGTTAATATCCCGTTTCACCCTCCTGGTCCCAGTGGAGTAAGTTCCGCCAACTGTTGAAATATACTATACTATGCTTCATAAGACTATTCGTGACATTTTTCCCAAAATCATTTCACAACACTTGAAAAAATGCAAATGAAAATTTAAAATCATTTCCATGACGCGGCAAAATAGCTCCGTCGCTACCTTGGGTTATACATCTTGACAGTAGGGATGTTCGATACGATCCTATATTTAGAAGTATCAATACATTTCACGAGTATCGTCATCTTTCGATCAGGACTGTGTCAGAAAGAGTGACTGCCATTTGGCTGCGACATTACCCTGCCAGGGAGATGTAGGGATTGACACGTCTTACACATATTATCTGTGTTTTAGGATGGAGAGGACATAATGTTTTCATTGCTTTGAAGAAATTCATTAACTCATAAATTAATAAATGATTACTATTATGACGTAAAGGAAGATGAGGAATTGGATGGAATGTATTTTATATTCTATTTTCTTGCAAAATACACACTATTCAACAGGTATGTAATGATAACTTTCAGTATATTGAAGTTAGTAAATTCGAGAGTGCCATGCATTAACAAACGTCCAAATCTACTGCCAAATTTAATAGCTAGAAAATCGACCTATTATTTGCCGCATTCCCAATCGCTGAGGGGGATAACGGATTGTTAAATGTAAACCTATAACAAATATCAAAATACATGAAAGTTGTCCTGTTTTTTCTGTACAAAAGTATCATGTTGGAATCAAAAAGTGGTCTTGTTTATAATACAGTCGAATGTTTTTTCTGTACAAAAGTATCATGTTGGAATCAAAAAGTGGTCTTGTTTATAATACAGTCGAATGTTCACGATTTTATTCAATATTTCAATAGAAATCACTAATATTCAGAGACCTTTGACAGCTTCTGTCAAATTGCATTTCGATAAGGTATTTTCCCATTGGTCCATAATATAAATGTTGGTGAAATTGGCCCTTAGAATATTATTATTATGATTATTATTATGATAATTGAGATGAGCAGAGTACACAGTACTATAAGCTCATGCAGTAAATATAGTGTACGGACACGTAACACAAATACATCAAATAGAAAAAAATAAAAAAGACAGTTCATAGCTATAAAGTTTGTACACTCCTCCAGCTATCATACTGCACTTTGAAGCTATTAACTGAAGTAGCACCAACCACACTTTCAGGTAAACTATTCCACGTGTTGAATATGCGGTTGGGAAGAAACCACTGTGGGACTGTTGTTTTAAATGGCTCCATATGCAGTTTGAAGCTGTGTCCGCGTAGATTGCTGCGCGACAGACGGTATAGATGCATGAGGTTGGTGCCCATCAAACCATGAAGTATCCTGAACGTAACTATAAGATCGCCACGAAGTCTTCGCTCAGAGAATGAGGTCAGGTTGAATAATTCAAGGCGATCTTCATAGCTTGGTCTTCGTGCTCCAAAAGGGATACGAGTAGCCCGACGCTGTACTGATTGGACGAGATTTCTATCGCGCAGAAGCACAGTGTCCCATACCGGGCCAGCGAATTCGAGAATTGGCCTCACGAATGCCTTGTAAATGTAGGCGCAAGTGTTGACATCGGATCCTTTGAAAGACCTCTCCAGCATGTATAGAAGTTTCTTGGCTTTTGATGTAACGTGGTGAATATGCTCTGACCAGGAAAGACGATCGTTGACTACAACGCCCAGATCAGTGTGGCTGGAAACTGCTTCGATGTTGTGGTCAGAGACCTTGTATGTAAATCGCGGATATGTCTTCCCGAGGTGAAGGACACAACACTTAGATTTAAGGGTAAAAGCCAACTGACTGACCATTGACAAACAATATCAAGATCTCGTTGAAGCATAGCAGAATTTACGACAGTATTGTAAATCTTGGTGTCGTCGACATAAGCTGAACATGTGGAGGAAATCAATGCGGGCAGGTCACTTGTATACAGAAGGAACAGCACTGGCCCCAAGACAGAGCCTTGAGGAACTCCACTTGCTACATGATGAAGGTGAGACTGGCTATCACTGACGCGCACAGAGAAAGTCCTCCCGGTGAGAAAAGCCTTAATCCACAGTAACAACTCGCCTCTTATTCCCATACATTCCAACTTAAACAGAAGCCTTCTATGTGGTACGCGATCGAAAGCCCTAGAAAAATCTAAGTAGATTATATATCAACAGGAGTCTTTGTGTCCAGATACTGAGTCCAATCGTTGAGAGAGTGGAGAAGGTTGGTCATTATTGATCGACCAGGGAGAAATCCATGCTGATTCTTAGGGATAAGGTCATTTTCGAAAGCAAATGACAGGAGCTTATCTAATATGATTCTTTCAGCTATTTTGGCGGCGATAGGAACGAGACTTATTGGTCGATAATTTTTAGCGGAGGATTTGTCGCCCTTTTTAAATACAAGGGTAACAGAAGCACTAAGCCAGCATGAGGGTAGGGTATGAGATCTAAAAGACGATGTGAATATCAAGCTTAATGGTAGGGCCAGTGCTGAAGCGCAGTTTTTAAGTACATGTGTAGATATAAAAACAGTCGCGTCGTAATTTACAAAAGCGTCAAAGAACGCTAAAGTAATACGTACACCTAATATCCAAATATTGCTAAATCGTATAAATATTTCTCCTGTAGCGGTGTGTCAGTGACTACACCTCCGCAGACCAATTGGAACTAGTTATCCATTGCAAATCGGCAGTGGCCTCTACGATGATGCAGCAGCGCGTCGGTTACGATATAGATATAACCAAACATATGAGACATCTATTACGCAAATGCATACAAAAAAGTCCAAAGCAGTGCTTGGTATGAGGAGATTTCAATTAAAAGTCAACAACCTGGGGATCACGGCTACCTGACGAAAGCGGAGAGCTATTTGAAGGAATCTCTGCTGTAAGAAGCTTGGTCGTAAATGTTGGTGGCGAGCCAACTTTCCATGGCGTGGACCTTACGGGTACAATCAAAAAACTGTAAAGTACTGACGGAAAAAATCTGAGCGACCATAAGTATATTAGTCCATATTTATAAAAAAAGTTTTACCTTTTGCTTTCAAAAAATAAAGCAATTCCTTCAAAGCCCAATTTGAAGACGAATATGTAACTCGAAAAGGTTTTGCCAGTATTAATGTACAGGTTACATGCGACCAGAATTCTGTTATAACTAGTATAGATGCTAGTTGGCCTGGATCAGTCCATGATGCTCGTATATGGAAAAATTCGGCAATGTGTGAAGTCATGAAAAAGACAAGAAACACTATTCTTCTAGGGGACATTGGGTATGGTTAATGTCAGGTCTTATGACTCCTTACACCGACTCCCACGAGGAATAACAGAGAGTCTTTAACAGGCTGCTTGCATCAAAGCGAGTTGTGATTGAGCATACATTTGGGCAAGTACAGCGGCGATTTCCTATCCTGAAGTATGGATGCAGAGTAAAACTGACCGGTATTCCAAAAGTTATAATTGCGTGTGCTGTGTTGCACAATATAGCTAAGCAATTAGAGATGAAGACTTTCAAGAAAATGACGAAGATGAAGAACAAGACTTGCCATTTATAGAGAATGAAAATTTAGATGCTATTCGCGCACAAGGACAAAGGCGCCGAGAGGAATTAGCTCGTCTTATTACCAAAACAATATAGGTGTATAATTAGGATTAAAACTTTCATGTAATGCTATGTATATGTCGTTTACTTCAAACGCACAAAGATGTATTTACTTAAACTAAAAATAAACGTATACGTTTGAAC